TATACTAAATAACTATACTAATAAATACAAATAAGAATAAAATAAAATAATAAGAAATTATGAAAGTGGAGGAAACCTATGGTAACAACGTTGGATTAATAATGAAGAAAAAATAAAAAATACACCTAAAAAGAATAAAAGCATAGGTTCTGAAAAAAAATCTCAATGTCTCGAAGCTAAAAAAATATTAAAGCAATGGATATTGAAACATCATCAGAATGCTGTTGCAGTAACTTGTAATATGATAAAAATGCATATGTTAATATTATTATCAACTGATTTTGTAGAAACTTATCCTGGTGCAGACAGTAAATTTTGTGCTACTGATATGTGGCTCTTTCGATTTATGAAAAGAAATAATTTTACTCTTCAACATAAAACAAAAATTTCTCAAAAACTTCTAGAAGATCTTACAGATAAGATCATTAGTTTTCAAAAATTTATTATAAATCATCGAAATTTATATAACTATAATCTTTTCCATATAGGAAATATGGACGAAACTCCAATATTTTTTGATATGGTATGAAATCAAACAATAGACACCTGTGAATCCAAAACTGTAAATGTATGTATAACTGATAACGAAAAAAATAGATTTACATGTGTACTTACAATACTTGCTGATGGTACAAAATTGGCTTCCTTTGTAATATTTAAAGGACAACACCTTCTAAAAATCTTTCTGATGATATCGTTGTAGTAATACATTCAAAAAGATGAATGGATGAAGCAGGAATAAATGTATGGTTTGAAAAAATATGGTCAAAAAGACCAGGTGGTTTAGCTTATAAAAAAGAAAGAGCATTGTTAGTATTAGATAGTTTTGAAGAACATAAGACCAAAAATATAAAAAAAAAAGCTAGAGAAGAAAATACTGATCTTTGTGTTATTCCTGATGAACTTACTTCAACAGTTCAGCTATTAGATGTATGTATCAATAAACCTTTTAAAAATAGACTTTGTAAGAAATGAGATAATTGGATGATATAGGGTAATTATAATTTTACAAAATTGGAAAATTTAAAAAAACCTAGATATGATACTATGTGTGAGTAGATAATCAAAGCCTGGAATGATATTTCTTCTGAAATGGTTTCAAAATCTTTTAAAAAATGTGGTATTTCTAATGCAATGGACGGAACTGAAGATGATTTTATTTGGAAGAAAAATAATGAAAATAATAATATGATGATGAAATTGACACTGGTCGAAATATCATAAATCGGGTATAGATCGGGTATAAATCGGGTACCCGATAGTACAAATCGGGTGCAGTT